TACCTATACAGGCTTACTCAGAAGTAAGTCCCGTCCCCCGGGTTCCATGACACGCACACGCGCTGACAAGCGTGCCTAGGATCGCAGCCTGTGTTTAGACTCGGTGCAGGAGGTGTTTTGCCCGGGAGAAGCAGCGAGGCAAGCCCAGCCGAGCGACCTGGCGGTCCTCGCTGAACTTTTCACCTTGCCCAGGGACGGTGTCACCCGCTCCGTCAACAACCCCCGGGAGCTGCCGGGCGAGAGTGGCTCGCCGCTCACCGGCAGCAGCTCCGGGGTTCCAAGTAACCCGAAGATGGCCGATGTTTATCTCGGCCCCGGCGAAGGCGGCCGCGCGAAAGGTTATCAAGGGGGCAGGTGCTTTGTTACGCGGCGGGAAAGTGACACTCTCACCTGCTCGCTTCCTGCGCGGGCTGCCGCGGCCGCCTATCAGGACCAGGAGCCACGAGGCGAGCCCCCCAGGAGCTGCTCCGCTCCTTGTCCAGAGCTGCCTGCTCCGGGGGGGCGGGGGAGGAGAAACGAGCAGCCCGAGAAAGGAGAGACTGGCAGGCGAGGGAAGTGGGCGGGATGGGGGGGTACTTCGCAAAAGCTGCTGTCCTCTCCAGCGGGACTTCCTTCCGAGTAAACCTGCGCTAGGGATTTGCGCTGAATCTGCTGCGGAAAACTCACGTGAGGTTGGAGAGACCCGAATCTCTCCAAACCGAATCTGAGCAGAACAACATTCACCACGCATGTGGATCCTAGCAACTGGAATTCAGAGTCATACTGCCTCAGACAGTGGAGATAGAATATCCACTTTCTATGCCATGCGTAATTTTGTGCGCTTCTATCACGTCGCCTCTTACTCCTCTTCTTAAAGGAGAGCCTCTCCACCCCCCTTGATCGTTCGGGTTGCCCTTTTCTGAACCTTTTGCAACAATAGCCTTTTGGAGTTGAGGCGACCCGAATTCTATAAGAGTATTCCAAGTTACAAGGGGCAATTTGGGAGAGAAAAGGGCTCTTTCCTTCATAGCCTGCTGGTGCGCTCCTTGGAAGCTTTTATTTGACCGCGGTCGGAAGAAGAGGGTTGGATAAATGCCCCGCCCAGCCCCAGCTGTCATCTAGCAAGTCTCTCCTGCTGAGAAATTATACACCACCTTACTCAAGAATAAAGTCCAGTTTCAAAATAAAAACATTCATGGAAACAATATAAATATACCCCTGGCTTAAAACCAACAACAACATTTGCCCCTGGTGGGATTGTAATGGGTATCGGTGGAGAATGGGATCCCACAAACTACTGAAGGGGAAGTATCTAGATGCTGAATTGGTTTAAGATAAATGCTCCATCGCTACTGGCGGCCCCTGAAACACTTCCTTGAGATTGTTGCTAGATTCCTGTCGGTAAGGAAAGTATGAAGTGTCTAGTACCAGGGTACGAAATGTATTATGCTCCTAATAATATTTAACGTTTGTGTAGCGTTTTTAAGCGTTCCAAAGCGCTTCGCGAGCATGGATCGAGTTGCCATTATTACCACAACCCCGCAAGTATTATCGCCGCCACCATTTCCCATTGCGGCTGAGAGAAAGTGGTTTGCCTCTAGTCACCTAGTGACATAAGGGCAAAGGGACATCCCTTCGTGTGTGAGAGGCTATAAAACGACGTGTTATATAACGTGTTCTTAAGCGCTTACGTCCTTCTCTGTCCTGGAATTACTTCGCTGTTTGCAGTTACGCAGAGTGAAGGCGGCTGTACTCTGCGCACCCTCAGAGGCACTCCTGACTTAATAGTTATTTCGAATGCTTCAGAAGTTCTGGCGCTGGAATCTGGTTAAGAGGCTCAGCCTTGCTTTGTGAGGCTCACGTTAAGCCTTCCTACAGCAGACAAGACTAAGCGGGATCGGGCAACCAGTACAGCTCTGGCGTGATCACACTGGACCTCTGTTGGCTTAAGGCTTCCCAAAGAATCTCTTTTCAGTAATAAATGCGGGAGTTTAGGTTGAGGCTAGCTAAACAGGGAGCTGCATTGTCGCGTCCTCTTCCATAGCGTAGCCGGAAGAGTTAAGGCCAATCAGGTCTTGGAAAAATGTACGCTCGAAGGGTATCGCCCGGGCTATATCTAAAGTTTAAATTATTTTGCTCCGGATTCCGGAGTTCAGCATACCTTCCTATCGGGACATAAGACGCTCAACGTGTTTATAGCTCGGGGCGTTCAATTTATTTTGCGATTCCTATTTCGCTAAATGTGGGAAGGGCAGAGAGAACCAGCCAGGTATAGTTGCTTTGATCTCACAGGAGCGGAGGAAAGGCTAGCTATGAATGTAACAAGAACCAGTCATCTGGCATAATAAGCGCAGTTCGAATCCACGCATTTCCCTCCCCTTCCCGAACAAACGCATTCACGTCTCCAAACATAACCCCAGTTGTCCTAAAGACTTTTTTCTTGGAAGTAAAGGAGCGAGCTCCCGTCTGCACGGTCATCAGCTGGTAAGTCGTCTGTTGGAAATGGTTCACGCGTTCTGCTGAGGCTCAGTGACTGATGAAACCCAGGGTTGAACAGGCCAATGAATTAGCCCAGTGAAATTTGTTTCCAAACAAGTAAGGCTTCAATTCTGCATCTACCTACTTGGGGACTTATGAGTAGATGTGCATAGGACTCAGCTGTGCATAAATGGCTTACACTGCATATACATAACTCTACTAGGTTAAAGTAAAAGAGCATCGTGAGAGTCAGCGAGGGCGAAACCAGTGGGATATAGAGGATTAATATGACTGGGACTAAGGTCATCACCGGTTTGAACGCGACTGCTCCCGTTCAGCAGGTGCGTGAATTGTGAAGTTGTCCTGTCGTGATGTCATAGAACAATAGGGTTGCAAAAAGGAGCTTCTCGATTTAATTAACTTTCACCTAGCAAGCAGGCCATTGGTCTGTCTAGCTCGATATTGTAGCTCAATATTGTCTGCACTAACCGGCAGCGGCTCTCAAACAGGGGGCATTCCCACCTTACCGGAAGATGCCGAGAGCTGAACCTAGGACAAAGTATGTGATCTGAAACTAATATATTACCCTTTCTCGATTACTCTGCAATGTACAATGTAATGGCATTTCTGGAGTAGAAGGTGTGAGAAACCCCTTAGTAAACGTGTTCCTGAAATGTCTGTGCTGATGTATTTCAGACCGAGGCATTTGCGAGGAATTGCGCTGACCTCGTATTATCATTACTTATTATTAATAGCGAACCATCGGTGCAGACGCGCTTTATTATTTGACAAGCGGAGGGATCCTGCTGAGGGGCAAATCATTCCCTGAAGCAAGTCTCCTCGAGACTTACCCGCACGTTATACCGTTTCCTGTAAAGACGCACCTCAACAAAAGTTGTTGCTTTTAAAACTTTTTTTATTTGTTCTTTCTCTCTCTCTCTCAAAAAAGTTACATAAACAATGGCAGCTGAATTTGTTAAAAAATAAACGGATCGTGTAAAAAGTCGTTTGGTTTAAAAAAAGATAAAACAGAACCAGTAGCAAACATCCAGTAATAAATAAACAACCTGTCGCTAAAACATCACAAAAGCAAATGAAATGGACATAAATGTTTGACACAACAAACAAAAATGGTAGTTTCCCGCGTTCCCCTCCCCCCCCCACCCCATGCTGTTTGCAAATGAGTTTAATAATGACGATTAGAGACATGGCTGAGTTCGACATTGGTATATTAATCCAATTGGCAGCGAGTCGCTTTTCTTTTGGAGCCGCGTCTCTCAGTCTCCACTCCCGGCGGCTTATAAAGTGCTTGCGCCAAATCCCACCTACAGAAGACGCCAACATTCGGTTTGGATGAACGTTGAGGAAAAGCTAAGCAGGATACAAACAAAAATCCGCTCCCCCTATTTACAGCCCGGGAAGAAAGGGATACCCACGAACGCTGCCCTCTCCACCGGTCCTCCTCGTTTGCACTCAGAATTTGTACAGCGACTCTGTATTCGGGATGCTTTGCAAGCGGCCAGGTTGCAAGGAAAGGTACTTGCCTTTTCGCTAGCAAAAGCCAAACACCCCTTGGGCTGACGGGGACACCGGGGCGGATGGCTAGAAGGCAGGTCCGCCTAGGGACCCCTCGCTCCGGAGGAATTCCAAGGAGGGGGCTTGATCCCAAGCGAACTCTATTGGAAGGAAGGCTGCAGTCATGAGCGCACAGGAGCCCCACTGAACACGCTGAGGGACTGCTTATGTAACTAAGCGCGGAAGTAGATTGATTTGCATCAAGGGGGATTCCTTGCAAGTAGGAAACTACTTGCAAGTAGGAAACTACTTGCAAGTAGCGAGGACAAAACAGCCCCTGCGTTTGGGAAGGCGGAGGAGCGCACACAAAGTCGGTGGACCCAAAAGAACCGACAACCAAACTCAGGCCACTAGTATAGCCACAATCTTCAGGCTCCCCAGGGAAGCTTGTGGGACGGATGCAGCGAGGACTACAACCTCGAAGCTGTGCCCAATTCTATCAGCTGAAGTCACTTCAAAGCGAAAGGCTAATTTGCCGTCTAGTTCAGATGAAGCGTTGCAATGAAACTGAATGGGGCCCTGTTGATTGTAATGAGAGTCACAAGCACACTTCGTGGCAGTATTAAAAAGAACAATTAACATGTACTTCCGAGCAATTGTGCTTAGAATGAAGCTGAATGAGATCTATACCCAAACGTCAAAGGACAGAGTTCTTGCAGCTCCGACCCTAAATGCATTTACCTGGAATTGTTCAGTTGCTCTCAGTTAATATACTTCCAAGAAACGATGGTTAGGCTTTCAAATGGGACAGCTCATTCCTCTGCATTACTACTGAGAAATAAGCCCCGCTGAGTTCATTTTGGGTTACTCTCAGGCAAGTTGCTGTAACGTTACAGACTATGTCTACTTGGAAGTAAGCGTCGTTGAGGTCAACGGGCTTTACTTCCACGTACAGTGGTACCTCGGGTTAAGAACTTAATTCGTTCTGGAGGTCCGTTCTTAACCTGAAACTGTCCTTAACCTGAGGTACCACTTTAGCTAATGGGGCCTCCCGCTGCCACCGCGCGATTTCTGTTCTCATCCTGAAGCAAAGTTCTTAACCCGAGGTACTATTTCTGGGTGACGTGAATGTCATCTGGAGACCGAAACTTACTAGGGAGCGATCCCAAGTGAACGCTTTGGAGTTTACATCCGAGGAACCCTCGAGGAGCTGTCCCCAAAAGCAGTGCTTAATTTAGGATGGGTACAGTCCATTGTCCTAGAATCTGCAATCCGGAATCTGTTTTACTCTCTCTGGTGAAGTATGTGCAACTGATTCCAGCAGGGAAGGGGAAGTCAAATTTTAAAACTAGAAAAACAAACCAGGTTACATTCAGTACCAATATCGGCTTCTAGAAAATCGCTTAAAAGCTAAGATTCGAAGCACAGTTGCTTGGAAGAAAGCCCCCTTTGCTTGCTTGCGAGAACAGCAACCACAGTGCTTTACGAATAGAGTTCAAGAGAAATGATGGTTCAAAAGCTTTCCCTACCGTTCTAGACCTGCACAGGGTAAATGGCTACTTCTAGAAAGAGAAGTTAAGGAGAGTTCCCCCCGCAGGTTTCCAAAGCTTTCTAAGGCTGGCGAGGTGAGTCCGTCAGAGCCTGCGACACGCGTCTGTTTGCCCCCACATGCCCAGGATCCTGCCCTGTTCACGCCTGCAACGTCTTTCACAAGCCGTCTGACAAGCAGTCCTCCCCCCGCATCCCGGGTCAGCTTCAGGGTCGGCTTGACTGGCAGCCGCCGATCTCACCTATCCCTCCCTGCCCGACTGACGCGCGCCTAGCTGGCCTCGTCAGAGTCACTGTAATGGGATCGGGGCGAGAACTCCCCATCGCTGCGATGGGCCGGCGGCGAGGGTTTCCTCCGCTCCTGCTGGGGCTGGCCCGACGGCGGCAGGAGCTGCGCCGGCGAGGGGGCTTTCTGCCCCAACTCCGTGAACGAGGGGAAATGCAGCGGGTCCAGTTGCACCGAGAAGCCGCCTCCTCCTCCTGCCCCGCCCCCAGCCGGCTGCTCTTGGGGAAAACGCGTCCGGCAGTGTCCCGAGGCCTGGGACCTTGGCTGTTGCTGCAGAGCGCCCCCTACAGGCGGGGTGCAGGGCGCGCGCTCGTATGTCTGGCTGGCGGGGGCGCCGTCGGCTGGAGGTGGGCTGTGCAGCAGCTCGGCCAGCGCGCTGATGTAGATCTGCGCCATCTGCAGCGTCTCGTACTTGGAGAGCTTCTTGTCGTTGTTGAAGGAGGGGATGACATTGCGCAGCTGGTCGAAGGCGTGGTTCAGCCCGTGCATCCGCCGCCGCTCGCGGGCGTTGGCCGCCAGGCGCCTCTGCTTCTGCACGCCGCTCACCTGAGGGCCCTGGCGGAGCAGACCCCCGCCGCCGACGGGGCAGGGCGCGCGGGGCCGCGGAGCCTGCGCGTCGCCAGGGGTGCCGCCTGCCTGGTGGTGGTGGCGACGGTGGTGCTCCTGCAGCGCGCACAGCTTCCCCGACCCGCCGCTCCGGCTCCGGCCGCCGCCGCCCAAGTGCTCGGCCGCGCCTGCCTCCAAAAGCTCCTCGTCGTCCTCGTCCTCCTCCTCGTCGTCTTCTTCCTCCTCGTCCCCCTCAGCTGCTCCTGAGAGCAGGTACCTGGGCGACGAGGTGACCCGGCCTGGGCAGCAGATGCCCAGCCAGGCTGAGGAGAAGCCGCGACTTGCCGCCGTCGCCTCCTGTCCCAGCAGAAGGCTGTCTTCCAGTGGCTGCTGCTGAGAGCCCAAATCCCTGCCGCCTTCGCCCCACTCGCTGGGCGCAGCCACGGCGCGCAGGTGGCTCATAGTGTCTGCGAGGGTTACCTCAGCGCGAGAAGTCGCCGCCGCCGTCTGACCTGCTGCACGCGCCCTTTGCGCTCTCCCCCTCAGCCCGGGACGAACAGCAAGTGCTTCAGGAGCCCTGTCTAACCCTGCGACGCGCGCTCATACATAAGGGAGGAGGGAGGAAAATAATAATAGTAATAATAAAGCACACATATACAGACACACGGCCCGCCAACAACTAGGCTTCTCCGGTTGCGGAGGGCGCTGCGCCCCCTTTAAAAAGCGGCACGCGCCGGGGTCCCCCACCCTCTCCACCTCCTCCTTCCCCGCACACACCCCTCCTCGGCGCCCCACCCTCCACCTCCCGCCCTCCTCGCGCCAGTCGCGTGTCGGCTCAGCCATTGGAGCGCGCGGGGCCTTGTCGCGTGCGGGCAGCCAATGGGCTAAAGCGTGAAGGTTGGGTGTTTGTTTGGGCTTTCTTTCTGTCTTTCTGTCTTTCTTTCTTTTGGCCAGCGCCGGAGTAGAAGGCGCGGGCAAGGGAGCAGGAGGAGGAGGAGGAGGACAGAGAGACAGAAGGAAACAAAAAGTTGATATACAAAGGACGGAATACCTGAGTGTAACAGTTGCTGTCCGGCCAACAATAAGGCGCGCGTTTTTATAGCAGGCAGGGTATCGCTTGTGCGTTCGTATGAGGGAGAAACTGAGGGAATGGCTGAGCAGGAGTTACATATACCTGCAGTCACGCGGCACCCCGGGAGTGTGTGAGAGGTAAAAGTGTGCCAACTTGTGAGGAAGGGAAAGGCAAGCGGGAGGACGCGTGCCTAGAAAGGGGTCCGTGCGAGCGCAGATTTCCTGGGTCGCCTAAACTGGCTGGGACGTGGTTTTTGGACGCCCGCTGGGGACCCTGCACCTCAGAGCTCTCCGAAACCACGAGCTGCCTTTGGTTTTGCAACGCCATTGAAGCGGCGCTTCTCCCATTGCCTTCGAGGGGAAGAAGGGGGGGGATACCCCTCGAAACCCCCTTCAAAGGCATTGGAATTGCAGTCAGGAAAGGTGGGCGAGTCACGTTCAACTCGAGACGCCCTTTTTTTTGAGAGGATTTACACCCCAAAGTCATGGGTAGATCCTGTTGGTTTTTTTCTTTTTCTTTTGGCGCCGGATTGGTCCAGCCTCTGAAGGTGTGAGGAAAAACTTCCTCGCAAGCGCAGAGTCGGCTTTGCCAGAAAGAAGTCTTCGGCTCGGAGGCAGCTGGTGGCGGCTTCTTCGCCGGGCAGCGCGCGAGTGGTGCGCCCTCGGGAAAGGCTGCGCTTTGCAGGACCGAGCCGAGGCGCGTGCGGGAAACTGAGCGCCCCCCGGGGACTAAATCGAGCTCTCTGGGCATCTCGGCGGCCAGCTGGCTTGGGCAAGCGGCGGAGCTCGCTAGACGCGCAAATCGAGAGAGGAAACCGAGGTCGAGATGGCCCTGAAGCTCAGCCCACACAGAGACAGAAGAAGGTCGCCCCTGGCTCGCCTCTGCGCGGGGTCACCAGGGCATTTTGCGCGCGCTTAGAAAGCACAATTGGCTTCAGTGGGGCTTACTTCTCAGTAAACACGAAGAGGTTTATGGTGCGCTCTTGGCCCACACTGCTGTTCAGGAACACTGCCGAGTGTCTACAGCTCTGAATGGTTGTACTTTATAGGTCTGCTAATCCAAGGTGCTCCCTCAAGGGGACGTCGAACAAGAGGGATGTACACGAACGGATTCTAAACTTATAAAGATCCCTTCGAAATCAATAGTATTAACATCTCCGGCATTTTGGAGTTTAGATAATTTGCAGTATTGCTGTAATATTTTGGCTCTGTGGGTGTGCTCTAGGTCAGCGGAGATGTCTTCATTCCCCAAATCAATGCTATTTTTAAATTATATCTTCCAAGAGGGGTGAGCTGAGGAGATAGTGTCAGGATCCAACCACCTGAGGGAGTAAACCCTGCTTGGGGTAATACCTGCAACCCATCTCATGCACCTATCAGCCTCTGTCAACTGAGCCATCAAGGTGAGGCAAAAGGTTTGAACCAAAGTACCCTCTAGGGCCTCCCCCCCCAGACAGGATAAAAAAAAAATTTGGTGCAGAGAAACACACACAAATACAGTAGCTATTTGTGGTCCTCTTAGGAGATTATAGTCCTTGGTAGAAATGAGGCATTCAGGAGAGTGGAGCACTGCCTTTCATTACACTGGGATGCACTCCTGAGTCCTGCTTAATTATCTTGATATATCAGAAGGCCCATGCATGTAAGCATTGCTTACAAGAATACCATAAATTAGCACATGCAAGGTCGGGTCTGCACAACATAAGGCTTGTAGGGTAGACTGGTTGCAGCCCTCTGAAGAAGTTCCAGGTATCCACCATTTGAACTATTTTCCAACTTCTTTTGTGATTACTTCAATAGAAGGCCTCTCAACTCCAGCAGACGTGAGGATGGGAGAATGCTTGCATCCGTGGTCCTGCATTCATATTCTATGGTACCTCCTGGAGTTGATTTCAAATTCACCCCAAGATTGCGAAGTGCCTAACAGCATGCTAAGATTGGAAATTGTGGGAAGAGAAAGTTTGTCCCAGCCTAGGAGGAAACAGGAAGTTCTGACTGGCCGGTCCAAACATGTCCACTCTAGGAATGTTGTATTTGACTGCTCTGTGTTTCAAATTCCAGAGAAATCCTATACCAGTACAGTGGTACCTCGGGTTAAGTACTTAATTCGTTCCGGAGGTCTGTTCTTAACCTGAAACTGTTATTAACCTGAAGCACCACTTTGGCTAATGGGGCCTCCCGCTGCTGCCGCGCCGCCGGAGCACAATTTCTGTTCTCTTCCTGAAGCAAAGTTCTTAACCCGAGGTACTATTTCTGGGTTAGTAGAGTCTGTAACTTGAAGCGTATGTAACCCGAGGTACCACTGTACAGTAGCTGACAGTGGTATTGTCTAGCTACAGCTTCCTAAAGCACAGGACATGGGGCACATGCCTAATGTTCGATGGAAGCCTTAGTGCAATAGTTCACAATTCTCAGTTCAGAAGTTCACAGATCTGAGGGCTACGTTTACATAATTATTAACACAGGGAAGACATTACTTCTGTATTTACTACCAGATAATGTATTTGCAATAGTGCTTTCTTTTGAACCTTTTCTTCCTGGTCTTGTAGAATGCTCTCTTTTACTCTGGGTCCTGGATCTTCTGCCCTCCCCCCTCTTAAACCCCCCACCCTCTAGAAATGTTTTTACTTTGCTTACAAGATGATGGCTTTCCTTCTGAAAATCATCATAGATTTGATTACATATAAATAGTACCTGCAATCTTGTGTCATGGTTCAATGCCCTGAGTTCTTTTTAAGGGTCTAGCAACATCTCTGTTGGCTGCTTAGGAATGCTGAACCAGTGATAGGTGAATTTACCTTGGCTTGATTTAGAATTGGCTTGGTAATTACAAGCTTTCTTGGTGAGAGTTCAGGAAAAAACCCCTCAATCATTTCACACAAGTTTTCTGCTGGTTCTTAACATTGGCACATGGATGCTGATAGTGCCCCCCCCCCATATTGTATTGCCCCTACAGTTCCCAGCATTAGCTCTGGCATGGAGCCACTATACAACCAGCAAAAAAGAGAGGATTTTAGAAGGGAATGGGACCAAACAATCACATGAGGTATTTGCCAAGAACATGAGCACTGGCTCAAATAGAAGAGATACTCGCCAAATGAAAGATTGCATGGTTGAGCAGTCTAGTTATTTAACTAACAGCAATCCATGGGTATTTAAGTGAAAGTAAGAGGTTTACCATTAGAGAACTATTTGCACTTCTTTCATTCGGTGCCCAGCCTAATGGATACTAACAGAGCATGACTGGGATTCTATTTTATATTCAAATTTGGAAAATGATTTACTGGGTAAATGGTACTCAGTTTGGAATACACCTGATTATGAGCTGCAGAGATTCATATTTTGAACCAAGTAATCATGGACCTCAGTGACACATTTGTTTGTTGAATTTATATACCACCCTATACCCAGAGGTCTCAGGGTGGTTCACAAAACAAGATCAACATATAAAACCACAATATATATAATCAAAATAAAATCAACAACCCAATAACTCCCCCCCCAAAAAGAACCACATTTTAAAAGGTCATAGGATGTCAATCAAATCAAAGGCCTGGTTAAAAAGGAACGTTTTTGCCTGGCACCTAAAGGTGTATAAATGAAGGTGCCAGGGGAACTTCCCTGGGGAGAGCATTCCACAGATGGGGTAGAGAAGGCCCGTTCTTGTGTTGACACCCTTCGGACCTCTTGAGGAGGAGGCATATGATGGAGGACCTCAGAAGATGATCTCAGGATCCGAGTAGGTTCATATGGAAAGAGGCAGTCCTTGAGGTATTGCAGTCCTGAGCAGTTTAAGACTTTACAGGTCAAAACCAGCACTTTGAATTGGGAGTGGAAACTAATTGGTAACCAGTGCAGTCGGACCAGGATCGGTGTAATATGTTGCTCCGGTGAACCATCTTCAGAGGCAGCCCTACGTATAACACATTGCAGTAATATAACCTTGAGGTTACAAGACCATAGACAACAGTAGTTGTCCAGATAGGGGTGTAGCTGGGCCACCAGTTGAAGCTGATGGAAGGCACTCTCTGCCACTGAGGCCACCTGAGCCTTGAGCAACAGCAAAGGATCCAGGAGTACCCTCAAGCTACAAACCTGCTCCTCCAGAGGAAGTGTAATCCCATCAAAAGCATGTGATTTCCCATCCATCTGGTCTAGGGAACCACCCACTAACAGTGCCTTGCCCTCAGTCCTATCTGGGTTGAGCTTCGGTTTGTTGGCTCTCATCCAGTCCACTATACCGTGGTACCTCCGGTTAAGAACTTAATTCGTTCTGGAGGTCCGTTCTTAACCTGAAACTGTTCTTAACCTGAGGTACCACTTTAGCTAATGGTGCCTCCCGCTGCCGCTGCACCGCCGCTGCGCAATTTCTGTTCTCATCCTGAAGCAAAGTTCTTAACCTGAGGTACTATTTCTGGGTTAGCGGAGTCTGTAACTTAAAGCGCCTGTAACCTGAAGCGTCTGTAACCCTGTACCACTGTAGAGGCAAGACACTGGTCCAGCACTTCCACTGCCTCACCTGCAGATATAAAGGAGAAACAGAGCTGAATGTCATCAGCATACTGCTGACAATGTACTCCAAACCTCTGTATAACCCCACCCAGCATTTTTATGTAGATGTTAA